TTATGCCATGTCATATTGCACTCACCAATCATTAGATTTATCAATTGGGCTATAGAACCCACCTTTTAATTCATTAATTAAACTGTAATTACTTATTTTAATCAAAATTAAGATCCAATTAATTTCTAATTAAATCACAATTTTCTCAACAAATTTTCTTAACAACCATAACAATTTTTTCGCCAACCAAACACCTATTAGTATAATACTTATTCCAAAACACTAATTAAAACCATTTTCTTAGCATCCAAACACCCAAATTGTACAAGTTTCTAGCCAAGCAAATGGAACCCATTGAAAATTGTTTCTTTGCCCATCTATCACTGCTTCTATTCTTTCCATCACCGGCAATATTCTTTCCATTTCGAACATTAAAATCATTTAGACAATAGTTAGGAAATATGAAGCAAAAGGATCCCAAAAATACTTTACAACCTACAATTTGCATAAACTCAATTGCTCATTCACAACAAATATATAACAAAAAAAAAAAATGAGGAGAACCCAAAGATTTGGGTTTCAAAACCCAATAATATGGGGTTTGAACGAACCCAGATTTAGCTTTCTCAAAACCCAACAATCCAGGGTTCAAACAAACCCAGATCTAGTTCTCTCAAACCCCATCAATTCGGGGTTCAAACAAACCCAAATCTAGTTCTCTCAAAACCTAGCAATCTAGAATTCAAACAAACCTAGATCTAGTTGCCTATTCATTACCTGTCTTCTTCCACAAAGTCTATATTTGGTTCGTGGAACTCTCAACTTATTGGTTTTTTTTTTTTCTTCATATCAGTGGAGTTGGGTTCCATGGAACCCAATTGCTGGGTTTCGTCGAACCTAGATCTGTTTTGGGTTCGGTATTGAACCCAGTAGCAAGCTAGGGGAAGAAGATAGTTCAAGAGGTTTTCATTTGTCCATGTAATCTAAACTGCAAGACATGTCATTGCCACATTATCAAAAAATTAAAAGAAAATGCCATTATGGAATTATTTAACACCCATGTCATATTTAACTAATGAAGAGACCAAAATTGTGGAGTTTTTAGAATTGAAGGATAAAAAAAATGTAAAAAGTAATTGAGGGATCAAAAAAATGTAAAAAGTAATTGAGGGATCAAAAAAGTACAACTCTATAAAGTTAAGAGACCAAAATTAACATTTAACCTTTGAAAAAGTGTAATTTACTTCAATTTAAAAACGTGTAGTGTATTGAAAATTATACCAAATTATATTATATTAATTATTAAATAAGAGTTAAACTCTTTAATATTATGAAACTTCTTTTTATTTAATAGCGCCTTTGTTTTATTGTTCGGTACAGTCCAAGAATTCCCTTTTTAATTTGCCTGTACATGTTAGTAATTACTGAATTTTTATTATTATCAAAAAAATTACTGAATTTTTATAAAAAAATAATATTA